CACGCACACGCACACGCACACGCACACGCACACGCACACGCACACGCGCACACACACACACACGCACACACACACACAAGACATCTATTTATATAATTCGGCCAATTAATCGAAAATTGTATAAGAGATAAGACTACGATTTAAAACTCTCGGCTCTAATTGGTCAATTGATTTACTTTTCTTAAGTCTTAGTGTTTACATTTTTCTATGTGTGTAATGCATTGGTACATCTTTTATTACGGTGCAAATGTATATTTTAATGTCAAGAGAGACGAAAATTTTGAGATACAATGAATATCCAAAACGCAGCTTTACAAAATCACTTGCAAAACCCCATCCCAATCAGAGGGGTGGTCCATTCAAAAGTACAGCCTAATAGTTCGCTGCAACCATTTGAGAAATGCTTATTTTATTTAAGAATACACTGTTGGAAAATTTGTGTTAAATATAACATAAATCACACGTCTCAAACGGTCCACTCAAATTTTTGTGTTAATTTAACGTAATATGGATATGTTAAATGGTAACACCGATACTGTTGCGCGATGCTTCATTAGAGAAGTCGTAGAGGCGCTGCGAGTTCGGCGAGTCGGTAACAGCGATAGCAACACAGACACTCACACACCTCTCTGAGACACCCGCACGATTGTACACGTGACGAGCAATAAAGTCTTTTCATACATTACACGAGATATTCCTTGCACCCGAAAGCACAACAGATACTATGTTAAAATATTTCAAGGAATTTTAACAGAAAGGAAATGTAATTCTGATCGTAATTTGAGGCTAATTATGTGTACAATTAACATAACTTATGTTGAAGTTAAGATTATAATAAAATAAAATCAACACTTTTTTCCTGTAAATTTTAACACATTTAATAAATACGTTCAAATTGTGTTATTTTAACATATTTTTTTAATTATTTTAATAATTTTACATTTTAGATTTGTAAAGATCAATTAACATAGCAGGCATATGTTAAATCTACACATGTATGTGTTGATTATTTTACACAACAATTTTAACAAAGACTTTTTTTAACAAAACTAAAAAAATTTTCTAACAGTGTAGTATCAAGCGGTGAGTAAATTATATTTATCTCGCATCTTATGCCTTTTTCATAACAGAGCAAAGCGTCATAATTCGAAGAAAGTAGATAGGATCCAATAAAATATTGAGGTCGACCGAATAAAGAGAATTTTTTGGGCAATCTTTTTGAAAGTTTACGTAATTATTGTGAGTATTAATAGTTGACCAGTAATCTTATTTGTGTTGAAAGATAAGTATGGATTGTCGATCAATAAAAAAATTACTGTGACGGGAGATACAGGAGAGACACTGTGATGTAAAAATGACCTTTGCATGCAGGTACCCGTTCACGGACTAAAAGTCATCGTCATCGCACACGTCGAGGAAAACATCTAATGTTTATCAATTGCAATTTAATTGGCTCTCGCGGTAAAGACCTACTTGTAAAACATTCTGTTTATACACACAGTTAGAATTACAATAAAATTAAAAGATGGAGGAAGAAGTGCAGTGTATCATGCAGTGACATATTTTTTCGCATAAGATAAATACGCTACCTATCACAGAATTGTGTGTGCCAAACGAGCAAACGCAAGTGCATTCTGAAGATACTGTGAAGATAGAGTGATAATCGTTCACGTGCTCTCTAAATTGCATAGAGATTTTGCTACCAATATATTAGAGTAATTGCGATAGTACTTCAAAAGAGAGGGTTGTCACTCTAATTTGAGTAAATTCGGATTCATAATATAAGATAGAAGTAAATATTTCACTCAAATTTTTAGTGCAGCTACTCTACCCGAGACTATACCAGAGTAATGCGATCTTACTCTAAAGCTACAGTGAATTACAATTCACTAAAGATCGACTGATAAATGACTACCAGAGTGAAATTTTCCATTCAAAAATTGTAGTGATATAATTCACTCGTATAATATAGACTAATCTACTACACTCGAAAAGGGTGCTCTTTCACTCAAATGGAGTGCGATTTTATTCCACCTTATAGAGCGCAATTTAACTCTTTCTTAGAGTGGCAAATTATTCAAAGTGCACAAGCTGAATTTTCACTTTTCATTACACTTGCATTTCACTCGTTTTGAGTGATTTCACTCTCCGACTTTTCGATAGTATAATACTTATCTCTGATGAATGCGATAACATTAAAAATTCTTAGAATGCGATGTGATCATCGTCCACGTACTTACTTTAGGAATGTAAATAACACTAGAAATCTCTTAGGATGTATTATTTAGACTAAAGTAAAATATTTAAAAAAAGCGTTAAAATCGATCCTTTTTGAGCTCTATAAAAAGGAGAAGTCTTGGACTGAAGAGGCAGTTCCCGGCAGTTCCTCGATAGTTCTTCACCTCGCAGTGAGTATTTACGACATAGTTATACATACATAATATACATTTTTTTTGTGGAATAATATAATTACCTACAATAGCCAACGTCCACTGACTCTCGGCGTGATTGCCCAGAAAATCTATGTTTCAAAAGTTTAAAAAACAAGAAAATAATATATCATACTCCTAGAAGAATACTGTCACAATTTAAAAAATTTGGTTTTGAATTAAGCCGATAAAAAGTATGCCTAAAATGTTACGCTATAGGCTGCATTCCGATATTTACTGCATGCCTAAATATCGGCGCAACTGCATAAATAGAAAATTTTGCAGGGACGATACGCGGAACAGTCTATCATGAGCCTGCTAAGTACGAAGACATTTCTGTGCGTTGTAATCAATTTGATAGTGTGTCAATATACTCAAAGTCTGTACATCGTACACGAAAATTCCAGCAATGCTACTTTTCCTGCAGTGAATAATAATGGTGAGCAAAAATAAAAATTTTAAAAAAATTTAGTTAATTTTATCAACATGTACGATTTGATGATTACTTGCTGCAAGTTTATATTATTTTTTCTATATCAAATGTAAGTTTTTTCTGTAATAAAATCTGAATAGAGTTGTAGCATCGTAAACTTGCAACTTAATGATTACGATAATGTAATATTTAAATATATAATTCACTTTCAATAAGATTTGTAATTTAATCACGTATGACTTTCGCACATAGGCTTAGTATTTTCATCGAAATGACAATAAGCGTCTTAAGCCGATATTCATCGGTTCTTATTTCAAGACCGCTTTAAGTAATGTCTTAAGATGCTAATACGGCTCTGTGATTAGTTTATAACATCTTAAGATTGTACTTAAGACGATCTTAAATATAAAAACCGACTATAAATATCGGCCTTTTTTACTCTTTTCTCTACACTGATATTTTTCTTAAACGATGGATGAAGACTCGGGTAGAATAGTAAGCGGACATAATGCGGAGCTCGGAGACTTTCCGTACGTGGCAATGGTACATCTACTTGTGGGCAACGGAACAATCAGGCGATCCGGCGCCTGCGGCGGCACGGTCTTATCCAGAAGATGGGTTCTCACAGCCGGCCATTGCGTAGTAGACTACCCGCAAAGATTTTTTGTAGTGTTCGGTATCGTCGACAAGTCTAGAATTAGATATAATTTTCTTCAAGACCCCGTTGTGTCGATGATTACGAATCAAACGTTTATACATCCGCAATACTCAATGCACTACAATGATATTGCCTTACTCTACATGCCACAAAATATTCCCTTTTCCAGTAAGTACATTTAAATTTATATTTTTTTTCCTTTTTCTTCTTGCGTTTATTCATATGTCGGCATTATTTAATTATTGGAAAATATGCAGAAAGTTAATAACGATTTGAATAACAAATAATCTTATAAATGTGGAAAGAAGACTCATTAATCAAAAATCGTAATGTGTATCTATGTAGGACTCCAGCAGTCCTTTCATTATCTTTGATACGTACTAAAAGAAATACAAACTATTACTAAAAAAAAATATTACTAACGTATATCACGCGTCAATATATTTATTTTAAGAAACTATTAGTCAAATATAATATTGTCCTATTTTAGAAGCTATTCAGCCAATAAAATTTGCGTGGTATTATGACGAAAGTTTTGCAAAAAGAGATGCTCAAGTGATCAGTTGGAGAAAAGATAATACGGATGGCAAAGGTACGATAAAACTTAAGTACGCCACGGTGCCGATTATAAAAAATAATGTATGCAAGCAATCCTGGTCCATCAGCGACAAACACATTTGCACGACCACAGGATTGGGACAAGATGCTTGTGAGGTAAAAAATAATTACAAAAAATGAAGTTATAGTTTACAATAATATAGTACAAAAATTACAAATATATAGAGTGCAGTATTCTAATGCGCAATATAAATCATCTTAAATCGTTTTAAAAGAATACTAACGCTGTCCTACTGTAATACCGACATTTTAAAAATACGCATATCTTTTTATTGGCTTTATGGATTTAAAAATCCTTTTCTAAAGAGTTAAAGTATATGCACTAATGCTTTCCACGAAGGTCGATTTTATACTGAGAACGAAAATAATTTCAGAAATGCAGATAATAAGACGTCAACTCGTGATGATAACATTTGTTTCTTATAAAAGTTCTACAATTTGTTGTTACAAAATGAGACCGTCGTGGATTACATCAAGAAATACCATATCGTTCTCAGAATTAGGCTTAGACCTCTAACAAAAAAGTTAAGCGTAGAAAGTTATTATCGCGTGCAATGCATAGCTACAATAATCTTATCTATCTTTGTCTATATCCTTGTTGTCTATACAAAGACAGATAAGGATAACGATCGAAATTATCGACATTTTCGGAATTCGGCCTTTGCTTTAGAATCCCTTTTCAGCTTTAATAAATTTAAAAGTATCTCTATTTTCGTAAATTTATTATTTGATATTGTACTTTTAGGGCGTCAGCGGCGGTGGTCCTCTCATCGTAAAAAAAAATGGCCGTGCTTATCAAATCGGTATTGTGAGTTACGGAGACCAAGATTGTCCTAGCAAAGGACCTTACGTGTTTACTAAGGTTTCTTCATATATAGACTGGATTCACGAAGTTATGATGCAACGTTATAGTGCATAACTGTAATATTATCGATATGATTAGTAATTTAAATGTATCGTGTATATTATATGTCTTATAATACCTATAGTTGTACATATTATAGTTGTAAAATACATCCGGACTAGAATATAAAAATTATACAAGATAATTATTTTTGCTTAGTCAAATTCTAGCGTTCAAATTATTTGGATAATTCGCGTACTAATATTCTAATTTTGAAATTCGAATTGTATTTATAATTCTAATCGACATAAAATGTTTACTATAGAACATATAGAATAAATGATTATAAAATTTCTATAAAAATAATCTCTAATTATATTACATATAAGACTCATTTTGAAAGATGTCATGCATTTTGACATCATCTTGACTTATGTGTTCTCCTTGAGTTTGCTTTCCGATGTTTCATTTTTCGCAAAAAAATCTATGACCGTATAATTTACATTAACAGCGGATTACTATCGAGACCGTTTTAGTGACGCAAACGATGAGAATCCGATGAGGGATAGAGAATAAAAATTGTGAACTCCTAAAAGCAGATATTTACTTTTTTTAAATGACATTTGGCAGTGATATTCGAAATTAGATGCTACAAATCTTCGAATTAAATACTTCTTTTTTTAATATACTAACAAGTATATTGAGACACATAATTATCGATACACACAACTTTACACATATATCAAATAACATTTAAAAATGGCCCCAAAAATTTGTTTCAAGTCTAGTTCGCTGCAGTCATTTGAGAAATGTTTATTTTATTTAAGAATAGTATCAAGCGATAAGTAAATTTTATTTTTCTCGCGTTTTATGCCTTATTTATAACAGAGTAAAGTACACAATTTGAAGAAAGTAGATGAGATTCAATAATATATCAAGATCGACCGAATAAAAAGAGAATTTTTTTGAAAGTTTACGTAATTATTGTGAGTATTTTAATAGTTGATCTTATTTCCCTTGAAAGATAAGTATGAATTTTTGATCGATAAAGAAATTACTGTGACGGGAGATACAGGAGAGACACTGTGATGTAAAAATTACTCCAGATACCCGTTCCCGGATTAAAAGTCATCGTCCTGCTCGCACACGTCGAGGAAAACATCGAATGCTTATCGATTGCAAAGCTTCCCGCGGTGAAGACGTACTTGTAAAACATTCTGTCTATACACACAGTTAAAATTACAATAAAATTAAAAGATAAGGGAAGAAGTGCGGTGTATCAGCGACATATTTTCTTGCATAAGATAAATACGCTACCTATCACAGAATTGTGTGTGCCAAACGAGCAAACGCAAGTGCATTCTAAATGTACTGTAAAAATAGTGTGATATTCGTTCACGTACTCTTTAAATTGCACAGAGTAGTTTTGGCACTAATATATTAGTGATTGCGATTATTATAGTCACTCTAAAAGGAGAGTTATCACTCTAATTTGAGTAAATTCGGGCACTTATAAAGTAGGAGTGAATTTTTCACTCAAATTTTTAGTGCAGCCACTCTACCAGAGTGATGCGATCTCACTCTAAAGTTACAGTGAATTACGATTTATTAAAGATCTACTGATAAATGACTACTAAAGTGTGAAATTTTTCACTCAAAATTGTAGAGTGACATAATTCACTCGTATAATATGGACACTGATCTCGACTGCACTCGAAAAGAGTGCCCTTTCACTCAAATGGAGTGAGATTTTATTCCATTTTATAGAGCGCAATTTGACTCTTATTTCTTAGAGTGGCAATTCACTCGAAGTGCATAAGCTCAATTTTCACTTTTTGTTACACTTGTATTTCACTCGTTTTGAGTGATATTTTACTCTCCGACTTTAAGAGAATATTTATCTGAGAAATGCGATAACATTGAGAACTTTTAGAATACGATATGATCATCCACGTGCTTATTTTAGGAATAGTGATAACACTAGAACTCTCTTAGGAGGTATCATTTAGACTACTGTAAAATTTTCGGGAAAAGTGATAAAACCTTTTTTAAGCCCTATAAAAAGAAAAGTCTCGACGGACTGAAGAGGCAGTTCCTCGACAGTTCATCACATTTTGCAGTTCACACAATGCTACATTGCGTATTTACGACATAGTTACTTTATTGTGTAAGTATAAATCTATTGTAAATAGAGTTATATAAATGCCTTTTTTGTGGAATGATAATTTTACCTACAGTAGCCATCGCCCACTGACCTTCAACGTAATTGCTCAGAAATCTATGTTTAAAAAGCTAAAAAAACAAGAGAATAATATATCGTACCCTAGAAGAACTACTGTTACAATTAAAAAAATTTTGATTTTGAATTAAGCCCATAAAAAGTATGCCTAAAATGTTACTTGCTATAATAGTGTTACAAGTTTCGAAATCCGAATGAGGCAGAAGTTATTCTTTTAAAATTTGACACCGCAACATTTGAACAATACAACAGACAATACAACAATAAAAATACCTATTGATAAAGACACTTAATATCGCTTCACTTACAAATAATTGAAAATAATGTGCACATGCTAGTGTCTTTTATGCAATAATACAGTACATGTATTTTTAAGCAGTATTTTCCGGAACTTCTACTTCTAATACATCTTGCAAAACCGTTGTCAAAAGCGTTAATAATCTCGTTAGTTGTCATCATTATTGCCTAAATATCGGCGCAACTGCATAAATAAGAAAGACGACACGAAATAAGGGACGACACGCGGAACATTCTATTATGAGCCTGCAAAGTACGAAGACTATAATCAGTTTGATAGTGTGTCAATATACTCAAAGTCAGTACATCGTACACGAAAATTCCAGCAATGCTACTCTTTCTGCAGTGAATAATAATGGTAAACAAAAATAAAAATTTTAAAAAATTTTAGTTAATTTTATCAACATGCATATACGATTTGATGATTACCTTTGCTGCAAGTTTATATTATTTTTTCTATATCAAATGTTTTTTTGTAATAAAATCTGAATAGAGTTGTAGCATTGTAAACTTGCAACTTAATGATTACAATAATGTAATATTTAAATAATTCACTTTCAATAAGATTTGTAATTTCACGTACATTTCTATGACTTTTTTGTAATTTCTATGACTTTCGTACATAGTTCTTATTATTTCCACCGAAATGACAATGAGCGTCTAAGGCCGGTAATTCATAGTCGGTTCTTATTTGAAGACCGTCTTAAGTATAACGTCTTAAGATGCTAATACTGCTCTGTGATTGGTTTATGACATCTTAAGATTAGTACTTAAGACGGTCTTAAACATAAGAACCGACTATGAATATCGGCCTTTTTTAGTCTTCTCTCTACACTGACATTTTTCTTAAACGATGGATGAAGACTCGGATAGAATAGTGGGCGGACATAATGCAAAGCACGGAGACTTTCCATACGTGGCAATGATACATCAACTCGTGGGCAACGAAACAATCAGGAGTTTCGGTGCCTGCGGTGTGACGGTCTTATTCAGAAGATGGGTTCTCACAGCCAGCCATTATTGCGTAATAGACTGCCCGCAAAAATTTTCGTAGTGTTCAATATTATTGAGAAGTTTGGCATGGGACACCTTATTCTTCCAGCTTTCGATATGTCGATGATTGCGACGGATTGCGACTCAAGCGTTTGTACATCCGCAATACGCAATGGGCCAGAATGATTTTGCCTTACTCTACATGCCACAAAATATTTCCTTTTTCAGTAAGTACATTTAAATTAATATTTTTTTTCTTTTTTCTTTTTGCGCTTATATTTATATGTCGGGATTATTTAATTATTCTATGGAAAATATGCGGAAAATTAATAACGATTTGAATAACAAATAATCTTATAAATGCATGTGGAAAAGAGACTCATTAATCAAAAATCGTAATGTATATATGTATACAGCAGTCCTTTTATCATCTTTGATATGTACTAAAAAAATAGCACAAACTATTACTAAAAAAATATTACTAACGTATATCACGCGTCAATATTTATTTTAAGAAACTATTAGTTAAATATAATATTGTCCTATTTTAGAAGCTATTCAGCTAGCCAATAAAATTCGCGTGGTATTATGACGAAAGTTTTGCAAAAAGAGATGCTCAAGTGATCGATTGGAGAAAAGATAATACGGATGGCAAAGATGCGATAAAACTTAAGTACGCCACGGTGCCGATTATAGAAAATAATGTATGCAAGCAATCCTGGCTCATCAGCGACAAGCACATTTGCACGACCGCAGGATTGGTACAAGACGCTTGTGAGGTAAAAAATAATCACAAATATATAAAGTGCAATATTTTAATGCGCAATCCCTTAATACTGTAAGTGATTATTTGGCTAGTAATTAATTACTTATTTTGAGTATTAAAATAATTAAAAACAGTACTTTTAATGCTCAAAATAAGTCATTAATCACTTATATTAAATTTCTGTAAGGGATATAAATTATCTTAAATCATTTTAAGTGGATCCTGTAATACCGACATTTTAAAAATACGCATATCTTTTTATTGGCTTTATGGATTTAAAAATCTTTCTCCAAAGAGTTAAAGTATATGCACTAATCCTTTCCACGAAGGTCGATTTTGTACCAAAAATGAAAATAATTTTAAAAATGCAGATAATAATTAAGACGTCAACTCGTGATGATAACATTTGTTTCATATAAAAGTTCTACAATTTGTTGTTACAAAATAAAACCGTCGTTGATTACATTAAAAAATACCATATCGTTTTTAGAATTAGGCTTAGATCTATAACAAGAGAGTTATGCGTAGAAAGTTATTTTATACTTATATAACCTTGTCTATCTTTGTCTATATCCTTGTCTATCAAGGACAGATAAAGGTAACATAGAAAACGATCAAAATTATCGACATTTTCGAAGTTCGGCCTTTGCTTTAGGATCTCCTTGCAGCTTTAACAAATAAAATTTGAAAGTACCCTTATTTTTGTAAATTTATTATTTGATATTGTACTTTTAGGATTTTAGCAGCGGTGGTTCTCTCATCGTAAGAAGAAATGGCCGTGCTCTTCAAATCGGTATTGTGAGTTATGGAGAACAAGCTTGTCCTAACGAAAAACCTTATGTGTTTACTAAAGTTTCTTCATATTCCACAGACTAGATTTACGAAGTTATGATGCGACATTTGTGTATAACTGTAATATTATCGATATATGATCAATAATTTAAATGGATCATGTCTTATAATGAGCACAGTTGTTTATGAAATGTATATTTTAATACCAATTTTTTAATTCGGATACATTTAATATTATCGATATAATGTAATCGGTAATTTAACCCTTCGCGGGTAACGTCGGGTCACTCGTGCCCTGGCGAAAGTGACTGTCCTGTATGTCAAGTGTCTGTTTATATAAATATATTGTATAAACAAATGAAAAAATCGGCAATATCGCAATTAATCCTTAAAGTAGGATAGTTAATAAGGTAACATGAATTTTTTCAGATTTTTTTAGAACACTTTAAAGTATTTTTTAGGCGTCGGAAATGAGTGACCCGACATTACCAGTTACAGGTGCCGAAAAAGATGTTACCCGCGAAGGGTTAAATGTATCAGTATTGATAAGACAATTTTTTTTTTAAATGTACATTTAATGCATGTACATTTTTTATACTCGTTACGAGACAATATAAAATACATTTATAAAATTATATATTCAATTATATACAGTAGACTCCCATAAAACACGGGTTTATATAACACGATTTTGTATAACACGGCAGAAAAATGTTAATATTTGTTTTAAAGTAAAATAAAAAATATATTACTGTTACATAATGTAATATTTATTTTACATTTTTTATAATAAACCTTTATTTTATAAATATGCATACATTTTCACATGCATACATAATCCAAATGTATAAAGATACTTGAAATAATAACAATAATGATTTTGTAAAATTTGAAGAAAATAAAATATAAGAGAAGATAATTGGCCAATAGACGAATTCTGCTTGGCCATTCTTAGTTCGCCGATCATATTCAAGTTGTCGCTAAATCGTTTAGCACGTCTCTCGAATCGCGGGGCGATTGTTTGTCAATTGTATTGATCTGCTGGTTAATGTTTAGAATTTAGAAACGCCGATTATTCTTTACTCGATCTGTCTTATATCTTAATATTGCGCGATTGTAATATTTAGTTTCTACATAATACTTTATTTCTACACTCGGCCGTCTTGACCCTGAAATCTGAATCTCAACTTTTGACATTTCAGAGTCATCAGTACCCAGTTTCGGATGGTGTCCTTCACATGATCACCTATCTTTCTAACTATCATTATGCAATGCTGTAATTATTAAGGAGGTTCGATGGCTTCATCGGAGGGAGTAGTGGGACGCGGGGGTTCTGGAAACAGCGCACTAGCGTTTGAAGTAGTGGGAATGAAGGGGATTGCTCTGATTGGTCGCCGCGTGTATAATGCGTGCTGCTGTTCACGTCGTTCACGACCATGACAGTCTATGCAGACAAAAAATCAAGCAATTTATGCTTTAATAATTAATTTTTCTACGAAATGTGCGGTAACCTTCCCCTTTCTTTCGCTCATTTATTTGTAAATTATTAAGTTACATGTGCAAATTTCTTTTTCTTTATCATTTGCATTTTTTCTTGCACTTATTTCATTCTGAAGGTATATGCAATATGTCATTTCCCATAAAAACCATAAGAACCTATGTTAAAAATGCAGCCAGTTTCATGCAATTTTAATATGTTGTTCTGGAATGCAAAATAGAATTATGTGAATTTTTTGGGAATTTTTCACCGTCCCGTTTTGAAATAAATCTACTCCTAAAATTGTACTTTTTAGGTTTTTGGAGTAGATTTTTTTCAAAACGGGACGGTGAAAAATTCCCAAAAAATTCACATAATTCTATTTTGCATTGCAGAACAACATATTAAAATTTCATGAAAATAAAATTAAATAAAATAAAATAAATAAAATTTCATTTCTCTGCGTTTTGTTGTAGCCATCGAACCACCTTAACAAGTGTGGATGGTGACTTTTCGAGGCCCGATGCTAATATTATTTTAAGAACCTTTTTTCCGTGTAGAACAAAAAATTACAATAACGTCAAAATATAACAAAAAAATTACTATAAAAACTAATTTTTTTATCGTAATTCAATCGTTTCTTCGTTATTTTGTCATCATTATAATTTTATATCAAGAGACACGGTAGTGTCTCGCGCCAAGTACGCGCGAAGCGAGACGCACCGTGACTCTTTTACGCGAACGCATGAGTTGCGAGTATCCGAGATTTTGAGATCTCAATAACGAGTGAACGGATCAATTTCTAAGTAGGTTCGATCGATAGCTTGGGGTTTGATTTATAAATAACAGTCTTTTTTTTCCGTTACGTGCCCTACGAGCGAAGATATTGCGATGCAAAGTCCAAATGTGGAAAATTTTTTTTTAAGAAACGTCCACGTCGGACAAAAATGGCGGCTGGTGTGTCACTTTCCCATTTTTGACACGAGAGTGCATTCGTGCACTGTCGCAGTGCGTGACAGTGACAGTTTTTTACAACTTAGAAAAGGATAAGTGTAAAGTGTGTGATAGTCGTGACCGTTGCCGCGTCGTGACAGATAGTGAAATATATATAAGTATTGACCGTAGAGAGCTGATGCCGATAGATCTTTAAAAAGGAAGGTGTATCTACAAAATCGTACAAACACGTACGTATATGCTGTCTTGTAAAAGTTGTCAAACTGTATGTTTACGCGAGCGTTACTTCTGTAGTAACTTACGATAATTCACTCGTTTACGCGGAGTAAATTATCGTAAGTTACTACAAAATCCCGTTTACGCGAAGGAAAATTCTGTTTACGCGAAGGAATTATCGTTAAGTTTACTACAGAAGTAACGCTCGCGTG